GACTTACAACTGTCCTTTGTTGCAAATGTTATTGACGGAATGTGGGACAGACACACGGAGGGACCTGGGTTGCTTACTCTGTGGTTGATAAATACTAAAAAGCTGAGAATTGTAGTTTCTACACACAGCAGGAAGGCACCACGTTGGTTTAAAGCAGAAACAGACTGGCTTAGGACAAGGCGAAATAGGAGTTAACAGAGTGAAAAACAAACAAACCGTCGGGTAAGAATTTCAGAATAGCAATTTTAGATCGTGTGATGAAATAAGTCAGTTCGAGATGATCAGGCGAAAAGAAAACAGGGGGAGAAAGAGAACCACATATTGGAAGGTGAATAGTGAGATTTGGACGAGCAAAGGCTGGGCCAGAGGGAACAACCAGGTGTCCCACAAAAAAACATCTGGAGCATGAGGGCCTCTGAGCCACCTCCGGCCTCCAGCAGTCTCTATGGTGCTGTCCAATGTCTTAACACAGCCTCCGACGGCCGGTGCTAGTCTGGTTCACACCATATTGAGGGCATCCTCAGCCAGGAAGCAGTGCAGGTGTTGGAAGGATGGGCGGTCCTTGGCCTCTCGTGCCCAGCATCTCAACATCATCTCATAGACGGCCAAGGGGCAGGTGGGCGGACGGCTGAGATAGACCTGGAGATGGAAGAAAAGAGACGATGTGTGATGACCCGGGGCGTGGCACAAAAGCAATAAAGTCACAAAAGTAGGTAAAGTCCCTTTAATTCCTCCAACTTGGCCCCCAATGTCCAGTTATCATCGGCTGGAGAAAAACTCTCCCAAGAACAGTTTTTAAAGGGAAGAAATTCAGTCAGACCCCAAAGTACATATAAATTATAAATAAAAACCAACACAACCCACACTGCAGCAATTAACAAGACACGGCAGGATAAGGAATTGCAGAATTCAAAAGATAACGAAACACACACAGTTGTGAGGATGCCAGAACCCAGATAAGACTTGACAAACAAAGATAATGCATGCTTTGCTTACAGCAAGGTGCTGTGTGCAAACGTCCTTTTTAAATCCTGTTTTCCCAGCTGCAGCTAATGAAGGGAATCAGGGCCTTTTTCTCCCCCATAACCCACATTGCTCCCTTATCCGTTCTTCCTTGCGTGCCCTAGGATCAAGAGGGGGTAGGCCTGGATCTTCCTCTGTCCTTCCCCAGTTTCCTCCACAGCCACGGGAGCCACACTCCTACTCCCTGTCAGCTGTTCAACCTCCCCCTCGGAATCAGATTACAACAGGGGCATGACACGTGTGAGTTGGCCCTGAGGTGAGCAGGCCCAAGATAGACCCTGGATTTTCTTAAAAACAGAGCTTAATCTTAAAAGACTTGGTTTATCCACAACTAACAACAGTTCACTTAGTGACCGTTCAAAGTTACAACGGCACTGGAAAAAGTGACTTATGACTGTTTTTCACACTTATGACCGTTGCAGCATCTCCATGGTCCTGTGATGCTGGACAACTGACTTGCATTTATTTTATTTTTATTTTTATTATAAAAAGTTTTCTTTATTAAACAATTAAACAGACACAAAGACGGACAATTCTTAACAATAAAAAGGTTGAACATGGTACGGTTTCCCTAACATCGATCATTGTCATTACTTTGCTAAATCCAATAGTGATATTACATAATTCTCCTCTATACACTTTAAATATACATATAATCATTCCTTATTCTCACTGATCTTCCTCGTCTCTAGCCAATCATAAAATTTATCCCATGTTTTATAATAATCCGAATCTTCCTTATTTTCTAGTTCTTTTTTTAATTGATCCATTTCTGTGCACATTGTGATTTTCTTCAGTATTTCCAATTCATTTGGGATGAACTGACTTGCATTTATGATGGTTGCAATGCCCTGGGCTCATGTGAGCCCCTTTTGCAACCTTCTGACAAGCGAAGTCAAAATGGGGAAGCCAGATTCACTGGTTTACTCATTTAAGAACTGCAGTGATTCACTTAACGAACGTCTCAAGAAAAGTCATAAAATGGGGCAAAACTCACTTAACAAATTTTGGGCTCAATTTTTGTCATAAGTCGAGGACTGCCTGTACACGTACTCGCGTGAGTCCTAGTCTAATGTATTATATAAACTTTGTATAATAGGCATGTTGTTTAAGCGGAGATATTGTTTACCTGTTTGCCCTGATGCCGAAAAAACTCGCCAGCGTTCTCGATTACAGCTTCATCCGTGAGCTGACTGTATGGCTGTTCTTGGCACAGCATGAGGATTTCCCACAGCGTAACACCAAATGCCCAAACATCGCTGGCCATGGTGAACTTACCCTGAGAGGGGACAGAAAGACAACATTCCTGGATTTATTAAACCAGTTTTAGAACATGCTTTAACCTTGAAGAGCTCCAGTCAGGGCAAGCCAGAAAAACAAATCCAAAATATAAAATCCCAAGTAAAAAGCATTGCAACAGGATCCGCCACTCAACCCCTCTTAGGGACTGAAAGTACCGCTTTATTTTTTTTGCTGGAAGGCCCAACCAGATCTTAACTCTACGGCAGGGGTATCAAACTAGCGGCCCATGGGCCGAATGCGTCACACACAGGCCATGCCCACCTCAGCTCCACGAAACAAACGTCACGATACGTCACATGACAGCAACGTGACGCAGCAAATTTGACACAGGAAGACTCTGTCAGGATTCCGGAAGTTACCCCAATTAAATCATGAGTCTCGATCCAAACTTCCAAAACTTCAAAAGGATTTATTGGGAGTTAACATGCCCGGCACTGCCTGGGTGTAGCCGAGTCTGACACACATAATTCATTGTCACTCTTGACCCTGGTTTCCCCCCACCCCCTGGGTGTATCGGAATTCATATTCTCCAATGGGACACATCCATAGCCAAGAGTCATCAATCATGTTCTCCAGTGAGATATTTGCATAGCAGAAACTTCAGTCACCAAGTTATTATCTTTGAAAAACTATTTATGGAATGCACTTTCGATTTCCAAGCTGCCACACTGCTCTTTCAAACCCCTTTCCCAACTTCCTTTCTGTTGGCAACTCTAAAAAGACCATAGAAATATTTTATGAGTTGACATTAACTTTTATTAAGATAGGCTATAATAAGAGAATATTGCAAGTCTGATTACGTTTTTCTTCCTCTTCCTCTTATACCTACAGGGACCCTATGTCCTTTATTGTAATAAAGGACAGTGCTTGATTTCAGAAAACGGTCCTTCAGCTTTATCTATTTCTTTTCTTGGTTCTGCTCTTAAGTGTTCCTTTGTAAAGCAAAGTTATAAACATAAGGAATTTTTTAAAAAAATCCTAATGAACCTCTTTCAAATTTTTGGGTCTGTCCCTTTTTTTCAGCACCACTGTAACTTCAAATTGTTGCTAATCGGGACAGTCGTTAAGCGAGGACTACCTGCGGTTGAAGCTTGTCACTTCACTCACTCACCATGAGAATGCACTCCCAAGCCATCCAGCGGATCGGGAGCACGGCTCGGCCCTGGATGCGGTAATAATCTCCGGCGTAGAGGTTCCGGCTCATGCCGAAGTCGGCGATCTTGATGGTGAAGCCTTCACCCACCAGGCAGTTTCGGGTCGCCAAGTCCCGGTGCACAAAATTGAGGGAGGCAAGAAATGCCATTCCGGAGGCTATCTGAGCCCCTAAATGGACCAGAGTGGGATAGCTGAGAAATGATTGGGGGGAGGGGGGGAGGAAAAAAGATGGCAGGAATGTTTATTAACAAAATGTATATGTCAGGGTTCCAAGTTATAGTGTCAGGATTCCAGCAGTTACTCCAATTAAATCATGAGCCTCGAGCCACACTCCCAAAACTTCAAAGGATTTCTTAGAAGTTAACATGCCAGCATTAGCCTGGGCGTAGCCGACTCTGAGATATATAATTCACTGTCACCCTTGATCCTGCTTTCCCCCACCCCCCACCCCTCTGGGTGTATCATCCAACAAAACACGTCCATAGCCAAGAATCACCAATCATGCTCTCCAATTAGATTTTTGTGTGGCAGAAGCTTCAGTCATCTAATCAGTGTTTGAAGAAAATATGAATGGAATGTACGTTCGATTCCACACTGCCGCCTGCTCTTTGAAACTCCCCCCCCCTTCTTTTTGTTAACAACTATAAAACATGTATACAAAATGTTTTATGAGTTGACATATAGATCCATTGCAAGCAATAACTCCAAGGCAGGTACATTCCTCAAAGAATAGCTTTATTGGAAATATCATATTGGCACAGATCTGGTGAAAACCGACTCTGAAGGGTCCCTCGGTTTTCACCTCATTAAAAGTGAAAGACTTTCCCTCAACCCCAAACAATCAGTCACATGGTCCAATCGAGACAACGTCTGGTTGCCTGGTGACATCACTCCTCCTTTGTCCGGCCAGGTGTGACAACGTCCTTGGTTCCCAAGAGAAAGTATTTTGTTTTGACTACACAACCCCAGCTATCTCCAATCCCTCCCTTCCTATCCCTCAGCTCCAGCATGGCAGTGCTGAAGCTCCAAGATGGCTTCGGCCAGGCCAGCTTCACTATCTCACTCTCTGCCTCTCTACATGAGAAAATACAGGTAGTCCTTGAGTTATGTTGCTCAAAACTTAGGTTGCTAAGTGAAGCACTTGTTAAGTGAGTTTTGCTTCATTTTATGACTTTTTTTTGCCACAGAGGAAGGAGTCAAGCTATTTTCTAAAGCGCCTGTAGGTCAAACAAGGAATAATGGATGGAAGCTGAACATGGAGAGATCTAACCTGGAAATAAGGAGAAACTTTCTGACAGTGAGAATGATCAACCAATGGAACAGCTTGCCCTCAGAAGTTGTGGGAGCACCATCACTTGAGACCTTCAAGAAGAGATTGGACTCCCATCTGTCAGAAATGGTGTAGGGTCTCCCGCTTGGGCAGGGGGTTGGACTAGATGACCTACAAGGTCCCTTCCAACTCTGATTATCTGTTATCAGTTGTTAAGTGAATCACTGCAGTTCTTACGTTAGTAACATGGTTGTTAAATGAACATGGCTTCCCCACTGAACTTTGCTTGTCAGAAAGTCACATAACCTCAGGACACAGCAACGGTCATAAATGTGAACCAGTTGCCAAGGATCTGAATTTTGATCACGTGACCATGGGGATACTGCCACGGTCGTAAGTGTAAAAAATGGTCATCAGTCACTTTTTTAAGTGCCATTGTAACTTTGGTCACTAAATGAACTGTTGTAAGTCAAGGACCGCCTATACAGAAGATATTCCCATCAGGCAATGGGGCAGTGCTCGGTACTTAAACCAAGCAAGCTAAAATACAAGGGAATCCGAATGAAGCCATCTCAAGATCTTAATGACCCACTAAATTCAATGAAACATTATCCTCTCACGTTCTCAACCTTCTTCCTAGTGAACCAGGCACTTCCATCTCTGGATTCTTTTTTTCAGGATTTCCAAGCTCAAATCCATCTTGTTGAGTTTCAAATGCTTCTTTTTAAAAATGGACTCCGGCAGCCATTTCTGTGCTCTTTAGTGATGAAGGGCATCAGCACAGTCAGCTGGCCATATTTATTACCTTTCTGTGTGAGTTTTTGGTGTGGTTAACCCCCTTTTTCTCAAAATGGTCGCCAAGATGCCACAGAAAAGAATTATATAATTATCGTTGGAAGTGTTGGTCACAATTCCCAGTCTTGTTAGATATCACTATACACACTTGCAGTATAGTAACATCTAACACTACTGGGAATTGTAACCAACACTTCAATAATAAAAAAACCCGGGATCAAGCTGCTTTCAAAAAAGATGTTTCATGTTTTTATGTTTTATGTTTTGTTTGTTTATGTTTGTGTTTAAAAATCAATAAAATGTTTATAAAAAATAATAATAATAATTATGTAATTCTTTTCTGTGGCATCTTGGTGACCATTTTGAGAAAAAGAGAATTAATATCACCCAAAACTCTCTTGACACAAATCTCTCTTTAGGCTTTGAAATTAATCTGGGGGGGAGAAGGTTTTGGGGAAGTTTATGAAAAGAGCCAACTCAGCAAGGAAAAGGGATTAAACCTAAGATGATAAAATAACTGAGAATGAAACTGAAGTGGGAAAATGCTGGAAGAGGTTTAAAGATTTCGGCGGGATTTGATGCATTAAGGGGGAAATTGAAGTGTATGTTATGAATGTTAGTATCCAGAGGGGGGTGGGGAAATAATGGAATAGAAATCTTAAATGGTGGAAGAATGCTGAAAAGCAATGTGACGGGAGGAATGTTTTAAAAATGGATCTGGAATGCTTATGGAATGGCTGTGTGATTTGTTGAACAAGTCTGTGAAGACCGATAATTGGAAGGATGTCGTTTTTGTTGCTCTGCTAAGGCAATAGTGGGAATGTGAGGGAGATTAGGTCACGGGTGTCAAAATCAATTGTGTCACGTGACATATCGTGATGTATCGTTGATGGTTTTTGCTTTTCTGGGGCCAGGGTAGGCGTGGCCTGCGCATGACCCATCCGGCCTGCGGGCCACCAGTTTAACACCCCTGCTGAACACATTTGAAATGGGGTCCTTAAAAACGTGTGTGGTTCAGTGAGACTGTACTAAATAGGGAGTGACTGAATGAAGATTGAATACAAAAGCGAGCGTCCAGTTTGAAAGCAATGCTTTGAGATGGCTTGGTTATACAGGGAGAATGACTGAGGATCAAATCACAATCTTAATATACAAAGAAAGAGGGGGTGTCAAGAGGAAAAGAGAGGCTGAAAAACCCACAGATTGAATGGGGTTTACGAGATCCTGAAAAAGAGAGAACTAAGAAAGTGAACGAACGCACGGCAATGTATGAAGCAGTGTAAGAATGACGCCAAAACAAGGATGATTTTTAGAAGGAGAGAAAAGTAGGCAGAGATACTGCGAATGACACCGATTTAAAGCCAGTTTTGCTATTCTGTTCTTCTCATATGCATTTGCTTTATTTGACTTACTACTTCCCACTTCATTTCTCTGCCCTGCATAGTTTAACCTAAAAAGAAATACCTTGATGGCATTCGCATATGACAATTGTGATGCCGAGTCTACAGAACTCGATTGTCAATATTTCCTCCCAAATCTATATCGGTTCCTTGCTGGACTTTGATTTTAGAAATTTGGAATAGGTACCTGATGGTTGGTCTCCCACTGGGGCTGCCACCCAGCTTGTCTTCCAGCTCATGTCCACTCAGGAACTGGTTGAGGTCCCCATTCTCCATGTACTCTGTGATCATACACAGTGGATCGTCCCGCACGCACACCCCCAGCAATCTCACAATGTTAGGGTCCTTCAGGCGAGACATGATCTTCACCTCCTTCAGAAAATCATTCCTGCGCGGACAACAAAAGACATAGATAGGGAGATGAGGAAAAAGATAGTTGACAGGTCTCAAGAGAGGAAATCTAGGCTCCAATGATTTATTCAACACTGTCAAACTACTTACTAAGTCTGTATTACTATTACTATTAATCCTCCCATTCTTCCTATCACCCATCTCCTCCCACTTATGACTGTATGACTGTAACTGAGTTGCTTGTATCCTATGACTTATATTGTTTCCTAGTATGATTTGATTGCTTATTTCTACCCTATGACTATCATTAAGTGTGTACCTTATGATTCTTGACAAATGCATCTTTTCCTTTTATGTACACTGAGAGCATATGCACCAAGACAAATTCCTTGTGTGTCCAATCACACTTGGCCAATAAAGAATTCTATTCTATTCTATTCTATTCTATTCTATTCTATTCTATTCTAT